TAACTATGGATAAAAGACTTTTCTTTCTAATTGAATGTTTTTATAATATCTGGTTGAGAGTATGCTGTGCCACCAATGAACATATTACATATCCTGTATCATCCACAAAAATGTTTAAGCGGGTTGAGTTTTAGCTCCAGTCCTGTTCAATTGATACAGTATGTGAATGATATTGTTAAGCATTTGTCATCTCCACTGTTTCATGTCCATAAACTGCCAACTAAATGCCATTCAGTCCTACTATATGCAGATAACGCAGTACTGGTATCTCAAACCAAAGTGAGACTGAGAAGATAATTAAGGGCATTTTGAAATTATTGCCAGAAGGAACACTTAAAGGTGAATCACAGCAAAACAAAAGTGTGATTCTCAAAATACTTCAGATTCTGTAAATGGTTTTTGAATGGGTGACCAATTGAGCAGATTAGTCTTTAAATATCTAGCCATGATTTTTCAGACATCAGGAACATGGACAGCTCAACGAGGTGTCATGGAAAAAGCTACACATTCAGTAAAAACCTTGACAGTTTTTCTACACCAAAGTTCACAATATCATGCCAGCAGTGCTCTATGTTTACAGAGCGAAGCTGCTAGGTCAGATGCTAATCATGCAGTCTTTCAGGCAAATACTTGCCATACCTGGCTGCATTCGAAATGCCTCCCTGAGGTTAGAAAGTGGCTTTCCCTTGGTGTATACACAGGCCTGGATCAGGACATTTAACTTTTAGTTATTCTAGTTCCCTCTGTCTACTTTCCCTTGTTGTATACAATTCTCATGAGATTAAATGCATGAAAGATATCAAGTCCAAAATGCACACTTTTGGACTGTCACCTGACTTCTTATTGACCATTGGGTATGGCAAGGTGAGAAATTTATTAAAGCAGTGCCTATTCAATACAGAACCCCAAAATAATTTGTCTGCTGCCAATAAACCATGTCCATGGTATGACTGCTCCATGACAAGTCATCCCAAAACAATGGCACAACATCTGCATGTGCTAACAGCTCTAAAATACAGTGGTGCCTTGACTTAAGAAATTAATCCGTATTGTAATGGTGGCCGCAACTCAAAAATTTCATAAGTCGAAGCACCATTTCCCATAGGAATGCATTGAAAACCATTTAATCCGTTCCGGCCAAAAGGGGAAAAAATCAGCAAAAAAATAAAAAACACTGCAAGCCCCTGGAGCTGGAAAAAACAAATTAAAAATCCCAAAATTTCCTCTGGAGGCTTCCCGGGCTTCCAAAGCATCAGCACCCCGGTGTGGTGATTGGGATGGCTTTGGAAGCCCGGGAAGCGGGCACCTGTTTCAGAGGTCGGGGCGGCTTTAGAAGCCCGGGAAGCCGGTGCGGAGGTCGAGGTGGCTTTGGATGCCGCTCCCATCAGAGGACAGTGGGGACAGGAGGCAGAGGGCAATGGGAGCAGCTTTGGAAGCCAGGGAAGCCAAAAGCCACCCCGGCCTCCGCGCCAGGTGCCAGCTTCCAGGCCTCCAAATCCACCCGACCGCCGCACTGAGTGCCAGCTTCCTGGGTTTCCAAAGCATTGTCACCAGGCGCGGCGGTCGGGGCAGTGATGGAAGCCCAGGAATCTGAGCCTCTCTTTTCCTAACCATTAGGGCGAAGAAACAGCATCTTCGCCACCAACGGTTTTCATTTCCCGCCCTTTTGCCCTGCCTTTTTGTTTTTGTAGGTCAAAGCTCCGACCACAAGTCGAAGCAAAATTTTGCAGCCGTAGCTTCTCATAACTCGAAATTTTCATAAGTAGGGATGTTTGTTAAAGTCGAGCCCCCACTGTATAGAAGAACCTTTCTGTATGCACAACTTCATGTCAGGCCTTCAGCACTACCTGAAGATTCTTTCAAGGGAATCCTTTTACAAAATTGCTCATGACCATGTACTGAAGGTGTTGAAATGCTTGACCAACTATTTATTTATTTATTTAACTTATATGCTGCCCACACTACCCGAAGGTCTCTGGGCGGCTTACAACATTTAAAATACAAAAAGGCAAAATAAAAGGGCAAAATAATTAAAATGCAATTAAAATATATATTCTAAAATTGCCATCAGACCTACAGCTGATATTATTTCAGTTAAAAGCCATTTCTACTGTTGTTTTGCTCTTTCTATAAAGAGGTGCACAAAGAGCTAACTTGCCTCTTGTTAGTTAAGGAAGCTAGTTTGCTCATCTGATATCTATGTATCTTATTATGGACCAAGATGAACAAGTGATGGTACACTCAGCTAAATTTTTAGCACTAATTAGAATTAGATCAATTATGATTTTAAAATACAGGCACTCCTCACTTAACAACCGAATTCCGTTCTTAGGACTCAGTCATTAAGTGAGGAGCTTGAAGGCAGAAACAGGCTAGCCGGAAGAGCTAGCCAGAAGAGCAGCAGCAGGAGTGTTGCTGCCAGCTTGGTGGGAAAAAAACCCCAAATAAAAGCTTCCACGTTGCTTCTGACTGTTTTGAGTTTGGGCATTTGTCCTCCCTGGTTTGGTGGTGGAAAGAAAGACTGAGATTCCTCACAATGGGGAACTGGTCATGACTCCGAGTGGTCATAAAACAGGTAGGTCATTAAGTGAGGAGTGCCTGTAGTATCCTTTTATAGGTCTACTTGTTTCATTTTGGTACAGGTATATATATCTGAAATACAGTGGTGCCCCGCATAGTGACGTTAATCCGTTCCGGATTAATCGTCGCTATCCAGAAACATCGTTATACGGATGGAAAAACCCCATAGGAAGGCATTAAACTTCATTTAATGTGTTCCTATGGGGGGAAAACTTACCGCTAAGCGGGAATCCTCCATCCGGCCGCCATTTTTGCCGCTTCTGTAAGCGAGGGCAACGAAAATGGTTGTGGCGGCCATTTTGGAACCGCCAATTAGCTGTGTGAAAATGGGGCCTTTGGGAGGACCAAAGCCCCCATTTTCACACAGCCGAAGTGCTCACAGCAAAAATGCCATGGGAAAACACACACACACACACAAACCACAAACATAACCCACCAGTCCAAACCCACCCTCCAAAACCCACACAGAAATTTTTTTAAAAAAGGACTTGCCGGTCCGAAGCCTCCCGATGCTCTGCTGGCTCCGTGAGTGGCCAGGGCCCCGGCCTGCTCTAGCCTCCCGGCCCTCCGCTGGTTCCGCGCAGCCGGGGGCGAGCGGCCAGGGCCCCGGCCTGCTCTAGCCGCCCGGTGCTCCGCTGCCTTTGGAGCTTTCAAAGGGCTTCCTCCAATGT